TTTTTTTTTTTTTGCCTTACCAAACAAATCTTTTCAGTCAGAAGAAGAAGGCGAAACGAAACAGCATCTGTTGTCTAAGTTGGTGGACTGCCGTTTTAGACTGGAAAGATTGAAGGTTAGATCTGCTTCTTGTTTTATTTATTGTTACAATCGAAAAGCCTTTTCACTTTGGTTCTTTTTAATAACATTTTGTTATAATTTTTTAGAAACATTGATTTTAAGGAATTTGACGTCACTGGGGAGATGCTACATATTCGGACGCACAAGAATCATGAACTTGTAGTACAGTCAGCTCGAGGTCGAAACCCTTATTGTGAAGTATGCATGTCAACAGTTTGGCGGTTGATCCAAAGGTGGCGTAGATGCAGAAGTAAACGTTTACTGAGATGTATTTTTACTGCCAAATATTCCTTGACAAGTCACCATAAAATCCAATTCTAATTTTAGTTTGCGGCTTTCGTGTCCACGATAAATGTATTGAAAATATTATTCGACAGTGTGCTGGTGCTGAAGCCAGTAGTCCCGAGTTTAGGTGATTTTTATGAACATATTTTTCTTTAAATCCAGCGATCATTCCTTCCCTTCAAAACTTTCTTTAATTAAAATTAAAGATCATTACTTTAGCCTCATAACAAAAATATGTCCAGAACGAGGCTTAGATGCTCAGGACTACGCGTGTGCAGAGTGCAGGAAACCATTACAGTTTGGTAAGTTTCTTTTTTCCGCGCGAAATTCTATAAAAATTATATTCACATTAAATTAAGCATTTTTGCAGGTAGTTCTGCTGATGTTGAGCCACGTTTATGTGATTACAATGGACTGTATTACTGCTCACATTGCCATTGGAATGACGAGTGGATGATCCCGGCGCGGGTCTTGTCTAACTGGGACTGTAACAAATATAAGGTAGCTCTATGTCTCTAAATTTTTTCGATTTATTAGAAATGTACGAAATCTTCATTTTACTTTTAATTCTGTAATTTTAACTGTTTTTTTATTACCAATAGAGTTGAATGAGACCGTCTCGTTTTGTTGGATTTGAGTTTTACATCAAATTTAAGTTTGAAATTGTATTTATTTATTTTTTTCCTAACAGGTATGTCGTGCGTCGAAACAGCTATTATCTTGCATTGATCGTAAACCGTTGTACAATTTTTCTCAGCAAAACCCTCGTCTACTAAAGTTTGTTGCTCAGCTAATGAAGATCCATAAACTGCGGACGAATATAATGTTTATGAAATGTTACTTCGTTTGTTGCAAAGTATCTTTCTCATATGACTGATTTTCTATTATACTTCGCTGTCTTGATGGTCCATTCTGGCCCTTGTAGGAAGCTCGTAAGCTGCGTATTCTACAATACTTAAATCGCCGTCAGCACTTTGTTGAAAATGCCGAAATGTACAGTCTTGCCGATCTGCGCGATTTAGTGGAGGGTCGTCTGATTCCCGAAATAGAACAAATTGTTTCTATCTTTGCTGAACACATAACGCGGGACTGCTTAATTTGTCAAGGAAATGGGTTCGTGTGTGAATTGTGCTCAGATGATAAGGTTCTGTTTTCAATCTCTAAAATAAGCTGTATAGGAGTAATTTCTATTTTTTTGGACATTCTTCTGCATAGTAGTGACTTATTAATTTGATAGCAGCATTATGATTTCAAAATCTGTGGGTATTATTCCTTTTAGGCCGATTACTTTCAGGTGATATATCCTTTCTCAGAAGGGGTTGCAATATGTCAAGTCTGTTGTGCCGTTTTTCATTCGCAGTGTTTCAACGTAAACAGTAAACGATGCCCACGGTACATCATCATTTTAGTTAGCTCCACTAACATAAATTTCAGGTGAAACTTTTTATGTATAATTTCTCCTTATTAAAGCTAAAAAAATTTTAGTTGTGCTCGTCGCAAACAACGCCTACCTAATCAAGTGGCACCTGAGAAACTTGTATGTGAAGAAAAGCCAGATTTAGAAGCTTAGCTGTAAGGTGGGTAACTTGCAAATAGAACGTTTGTCAGGCTTGCTCACCCATAATTTATTACTTTGTTACTCCTTGATTAATACGGGACTTCCTGTACATGTAATTCAGTGACCGTTAATTCATCATTATTTATAACATTTAAAGCTGTGACTACGGCAATCGATTCAGCAGCTCATTCTGCATCAAACTTCTCTGTACATATATTGGAACAAAAGAGAAATGTAGCATCTGATCAGACAACGGGTTTCGTAACAAGAACTGATTTGTATTTTTAAATTTGTTCTTTCACCTCAATTTTTATGTTTTGTAAGTTTCAATAAAGGAATATATATATAACTGAGATTCTTTCTTAGTAAACTTGAGCTATTTATGAGCAAGACCCCTTGTACTATAATTCCTTTTGCTAAGTATGCTTCAAGATTTTCTGAACTTGCGTGGTGAACAGAAGGAAAGCAAAAACGGGCTTAAGAGGTAAATCCAACGAAATCGATGGATAAACAAAGGTCTTGTTAAAAGTATCAAAAGGTAGTGAAATCCCCTCAGATCTGCGTAGTGACACCGCCACGGAGATATCACTCATCGGTGCAGTTGATAGAACTGGAGTGCTGTAACAGTTTAATGAAAAAGGCAGTCACTCTTAACGAATTACTGGGTATAAATACAGGAAGGAAGCTACAGAATTACATAACCTGTTTGTTAAGATTTGAGGGTTGAGTTGACGCTTTGGTAAACT